CCTGCTCTTCTGCTCCTGCCACGGAGCCTGGTTGGGGAACTGGGAGGCTGTTTCAGGGGCCCCCTTCCAGGTAGGAGTGTTGGTGGGGGGAGTGGGATAGGCATCAACACCCCGCTCAAGAGACCCAGCTTCCTGGCAGGAGCACCTGGTGGATCTGGGTAAGCCCCATCCACCTCTTCAGGTACGTCCCTCAGTGTCCCCTCACCAGTGTGTCCATCCCACCCTCTCCAAGGCCGGGTGGTAGGAGGCAGCCCCCGTCTCTCCCGCCCCCTCACCACCCACCCATCTGAAGGCAGGGACCATCCCACTGTCCCTTTCTGGCTACGCTAGGCACAGACACACACCCACGTTCAGTGTTACCAAATGGGATCGCGCCGGATTTATGACACAACCCCAAATCACGCAGAAGGCACGAAGCACCATCTCCGTTTAGAAACCCTAATAGCGTAACGGGGCCAGTGTAGCGTTGTACCCGGCTGCGCAGGCCTCTGCCGCTTCAAAAGGCAGAGTCACCCCCAAAACTCTCTCGGGCGCGGCTGCTTCACAACAGGCGCGGCTTTATTTTGAGACGCCCATTAAAAAGCAACGAAAATACCCCACCCCCAATGCACCCGGCGGGGCAGACCTGACCAAGCCAGGAGCTTTGGAGGGGAGGGAGAGAACTCGGTGCCGGGGGAACAGCCTGGGATAGAGTGGTCCCGACCCAGCACGGTCCAGGCAACGACAGTCCGATCTTTCCCGCGGTGCCCCAGCGGACGCGGGCCACCCCGCTGTATCTTCTCGCGAAGGCGGCGCCAAACCTGGCCCCCGGTGCAGGGAAGAGATCTGCTGGGGAACCCGGCTCTCCACGGGCCCAGGGAAAAAGGTGAAAAACCTGCATCGGGCCCTGCTTTATATATGCACAGAGCCACAGCCTCCTCCCCCCGCTTATCGATTGGTGGCTCAGCCACACAAACTGAGGGCAGCTGCCCAATCAGGACCCAGCACAAAGAGGGGGGCGTGGCTTGAGATCCAGGGGGAGGACAGGTTGGACCTGCGGGGGCCGGCGTCCTCGAGCCCTGACCGATGCCGAATGAGGGAGTTTGCTGGAGCAGGGGAGGTCAACGCTGGCCCTGGGCTGGCCAGGTTCCTGGCCCCGGGGGGGCACGCAGCCCCACTGCCACCGGCCCTGCTGTTGCTGCCCCAGCAGCGCTCCTAGCTGCCAGCCCTCCTGCTGCCGGGGCTCTCTGGTCCAGGAACCTCCGTGGTCCCACCGATGTTGCCAGCCCAGAGATCCCCGGTTTACAGGGGTTCGATGTGTGTCGGCGAAATGCAGCAGCACTGCGCAGGCAGCGTGGTACGAGGGGGGGGGGGGGGAGGATCACGACTGGGGCTGCCTAACTGGGTCGGGACAGGGCAGCCTGCTTCCACGCATCTGTTTGGTGCAGCGAGCGGGTGGGAAAATGCTCAGCCCCCCTCCCGGCAGCAGTTCAGATGTCCTGGGTTTGCACCTCCACAGCGTCTGTCTTTCTGGTGGAAGCGGCAGCCGGCTGGTGCAGCCAACGGGGCTGTGCTGCCTGACGCCAGAGCGGTATCTGCCCCATGCACTTGCCGTGCCTGGTCACGGGCTGTCTCCGGCACGGCCTCACTCTCCTGCAGCCTCGGGAGTCCAGCCCCAGACCCTCCGAGACCGAGCTGCCTAAGCCCCAAAGATTTCCGCGGGAGGGACTGCCCTCTCCTGAGCCCCGTCTCCGCACGACAAGCCCACAAACACTTCTCCCCTCCAGCCAGCCTCGTCATGCCCGAGTTTCGGCTTTCCGCC